TGCAAAACAGCTGATCAGTTGGTGCAGGGAGGGAGGGGGAGGCGTTGGGGGCTGGGGAGGAGGAGCGGATGTGGGGGGGCTGCTGATGTATTACTGTGGCTCTTTGGCAAAGTACATTGGTAAATTCTGGCTCCTTCTCAGGCCCAGGTTGGCCACCCCTGCAGTAGAAGGATGGGGTTGTATCCCTCCCCTTTCCAGGCTGGCTGTCGGCCACTCGACAGGAATTCCTGCGGGCCCCAGGTGCTCAGGGATGAGCTAATTATGGAGGCTCTGCCTGTGTTACAAACTGTCATGTTACCAGTTTATTGCTGGATCGATTTCCACTTCCTCTTGGAAGGCGGGGGCTGGGGCTGCTGCGGTCCAGCTTCTCGGAGCAGCACCAGGGAGGGGAGGTGGCCTGAAGTGTCCCGGCTCCGGAGCTGGGAGCCTGCCTACGGAAAGGCTTCGCACCCAGTAACAGATCAATATCCTTAGATGTACTGAGGAGGCAGCTTTGGGGGATTTGCTTTAAAATCTAGGACTATCTGTAAGGCAGTCCTGGACTAGGAGCAGTGCTGCTTGGGGTCCTGGGTGAACCAGTCTGGACCGAGTAACTCAGCTTCATCCCACTACACCTGCCCCTTTCCCACCTGTGTAGCACCCGCAGTATCCCCCTCGCTCCGGGGTGCTGCACCCTCCAAATACGTGCAGGCTCCTAGCAGGCCACTAAGGTCTCTTCCCCCAATTAGCCATTCTCCCTCCCCAGGACGCAGCCCCTCCAGCCCCAGCTCTTTCCTGTAGCTCTTCCTGGTCTCCCTCAACTTCTCAGGAGCTGTCTGCTTGCAAGGCACCCAGAACGTGAGCCTCGACGTCCCCGTCGCCCCCGGCTGCGTGTCCTTGAGCGGGCTGGGCCGTGTGAGCCCCGGCACCCACCGCGCACAGCCAGCCAGAGCACACAGTTGCGATGGCTTTCCGTGTGCGATCTCTCTCCAGGCAGCAGCAGCAGCCACACAAAGGGGCTGTCTTTGCGGCCCAGGCCCGCTTGCCAGCAGCTGCCAGAAGGGGCCGGTTGGATTTCAAGTCCTTGGACCTTTGCAGCTTTTCCCTAGTAACTGTTGCTGAGGTTCGCAGAACAACATTCGGGGAGGGCTCCCTGCCGGCCGCCCGCCCCTGGCACAGGCTGCTTGGAGAGCCGCGGCCCTGGCATCCCAGACGCTGGTCCCGACGGGCGCTTTGGGAGGCCATGGACCAGACAGCCAAGGGCTCAGAGCAGAGCAGCGGATGGGAAGGTGGGGAGAAAAGGGGGGTGGGTGGAGCCCTGGGTGAACCACGCTGAGTTCTGCCCCTTTGTTCCCAAATGAGTTGCCTGCTGAGGTTTTAAACCAGACCAGCGTCACTGCGGGAACAGGCAACGTGGGGACGAGTCTCCCAGCGTCGATCGCCTCTGGTGTGTCACTCGTGACCGGGGGAAAGACGGATTCCTGACCCCGAGTGTGTCCCAGCCACTCCCCAGAGAGCACAACTCGGGTGTTGGTGCAGTTGGTGTATTGAGAGCAGGAAGACAGCAGGCTGGACGGACACACAGACGCTTGAGACGCCTTAGTCCTTCGGGAGAGGAAGACCTGTTAGGTCCCATCTAGTCCATCTGCCCCAGGGTCGGGGCAGGGGGATCTTTTGCTTACTGTTAAGGTGCCCCCTCACTCCAGCAGTGGCAGGATGGTCCCAACATCCCTGGTGGGGGGAGGCGTGGGCTGTGTTTTCCCAGGCGGGGGGCAGCGGGAGGGCAGGCTCATTCCCAGATGTCTTTGTTAGTAACTGGGTCTCTTCCAGTCAGGGTTACCTGAGCTGCTCCAGAAGTGCAGTGATTAGGGTCTGCACTGAGGACACCAGAGACCTGCTTCAAGTCCCTCCTCTGGCACAGGCCTCCTGTAGGACCTTGGTCACGTCACTTACTCTCCCTGGGCTTCCATTCAGAATCTGCACCACCCTGCTTCACAGGGTGGGAGATAAATATGGTAACGACTGGGAGGTCCTGAGGGGACGGGGCCCAGCTAAGGACCTTGGAGAGGATGGAGAGAAAACTTAGCTCAGCTTTGGGCCCAGTGAATGGGGGTGGCCCTGACAACATTGTATCATGATAGTGGCATTACCTGCACCAACTGCGAGCTGCACAGCGGAGCCTGCATGCTTTTCAAGAGGTGCCGCTGACGTCCCTGGCTTCACCTCGCACTTGCTGTGTGTGTGTTTGTGTGTGTGTGTTTGTGCGCACATACAAAGCCGCAGGGACACATTTTCTCAGGCCTGCTTGATTTCTCACCCCTTTTCCGAGCCCCTGCTTCAGGCTTTGGGCTCTTCCACCCAACTGGGCTTGAGATCTGGGTCGCGTCAGCCCTGGGGCTGGACAAACCTGACTCCGCAGAAAATGCCGGCAGTGCGAGTGAGAGTGCAGTCTCCTCTCGGCGTAGATACAGAACCAATGCCCCAGTGCGGTGCGAGGGGGCGCTGTGCTGCAATGGGGGGGATGGCTCAGTAGGGGGCGCTCTCCCCCTGGTGTCGGTGCTGAGCCCCATGCCCCAGTGCGGAGCGAGAGGGCGCTGTGCTGCAATGGGGGGATGGCTCAGTAGGGGGCGCTCCCCCCCGGTGTCGGTGCTGAGCCCCATGCCCCAGTGCGGGGGGGTCCCGGCCCCCCCCGGAGCGAGGGGGCGCTGTGCTGCAATGGGGGGGATGGCTCAGTAGGGGGCGCTCTCCCCCCGGTGTCGGTGCTGAGCCCCATGCCCCAGTGCGGAGCGAGGGGGCGCTGTGCTGCAATGGGGGGGATGGCTCAGTAGGGGGCGCTCTCCCCCCTGGTGTCGGTGCTGAGCCCCATGCCCCAGTGCGGAGCGAGGGGGCGCTGTGCTGCAATGGGGGGGATGGCTCAGTAGGGGGCGCTCTCCCCCTGGTGTCGGTGCTGAGCCCCATGCCCCAGTGCGGAGCGAGGGGGCGCTGTGCTGCAATGGGGGGATGGCTCAGTAGGGGGCACTCTCCCCCCTGGTGTCGGTGCTGAGCCCCATGCCCCAGTGCGGCGCGAGGGGGCGCTGTGCTGCAATGGGGGGGATGGCTCAGTAGGGGGCGCTCTCCCCCCGGTGTCGGTGCTGAGCCCCATGCCCCAGTGCGGCGCGAGGGGGCGCTGTGCTGCAATGGGGGGATGGCTCAGTAGGGGGCGCTCTCCCCCCCGGTGTCGGTGCTGAGCCCCATGCCCCAGTGCGGCGCGAGGGGGCGCTGTGCTGCAATGGGGGGGATGGCTCAGTAGGGGGCGCTCTCCCCCCGGTGCGTCTGAGCCCCATGCCCCAGTGCGGCGCAGGGGCCTTTGCAATGGGGGGATGGCTCCCGGTCCGGTGTCGGTGCTGAGCCCCATGCCCCAGTGCGGCGCGAAGGGGCGCTGTGCTGCAATGGGGGGGATGGCTCAGTAGGGGGCGCTCTCCCCCCGGTGTCGGTGCTGAGCCCCATGCCCCAGTGCGGCGCGAGGGGCGCTGTGCTGCAGGGGGGATGGCTCAGTAGGGGGCGCTCTCCCCCCGGTGTCGGTGCTGAGCCCCATGCCCCAGTGCGGAGCGAGGGGGCTCCGCAGGGGGGCGCTCTCCCCAGTACCCCAGCACGGCACACGGGGGCGCTGTGCGGCTGCAGCTGCTCTAACGAAGCAAGCCCGTGGCCGTGGGCCGCGCCGTGGGCCGCGCCGTGGGAGTCGGCGGCTCTGCCCCCCTGGCCCCAGCTCTGCTTTCCCGGCGGAGCTGTGGAAGCGCTCGGCGGCGGGGTTTGGTATCAATAAAGTTGTCGCTCCAGCTGGGCTTTGCGGCTGCTGCATCGGCTATTTAATCTGAAGAAAGAGGCGTTGCCAGGGCAACTTGCCACTCTTGGCAGCGGAGACCTGCTCACCCGCCGAGATTGGCGGGGGGGATATTCCCCGAAACGGCCTCGTCGAAGGGGCAGCTCCAGGCAGGTCTGCGGGGAGGGAGGACTCGCTCTCCCTGCTCCGGCATCCCCGAATAGCCCCAGTTCACCTGCGATCGATCGACCGACGGAGAGAGAGGCCCGCGCGCCAGGCGCCCGCACCGGTCCCCGGGTGCAGCACACGGCCCACGCCGCAGCCGCAATCAGGAGTTACAGGGGTCTGAGCTGAGTGGGAAATTGGTCTGGGCAAAAATGGCTTTTGGGCTGGGTGTTTGAGATCCCGTCTGCCTCCCCTGTTCAGTGTCGGGGAATCATATTTCTCCCTCCCCGGGGAGTATTTGGGACCAGCCCTGGGGTTTTCACAGTCCCGCCTGCCCCCCTTTTAAAGGTGGCGTTGGGCTTCTCCTGGCAGCTGATGGAACGATTGCGTTGAAATCACCATTTCACGCACAACGTTCTGGTTTGAAGAGCAGTGTAAAGGGGACCCCCCCGCCCCCCATCCCCAGGCCCGGCAGCTGGTGACCCAGGGGGCTGCTCGCTTTGCAGTCACCAGGCTGCTCATGCTGTCGCCCATGTGGAAGAGTTTGCAGGCTCCGGCCAGGCTGGTGAAAGTGACAAACTGTAAATAAAAGTGACAATTTTCATAAAAGAGCCGGTGACCAAACAACAATTTAGCTCAAATGAGAAGCAGTAACGCGGCAGAGATCCTGGAAGGCCCAGGCCAGAGAACAGTGCTCAGGCGCAGAGAGGTGTAGGGGAGGGGATCAGGCTGGCCGGGGTGCTCAGGACTGGCTGTGTAGGAGGTGCAGGGTGCTGGGGGCAGGTGATGAGGGGGGATCAGGCTGGCCGGGGTGCTCAGGGCTGGCTGCGTAGGAGGTGCAGGGTGCGGGGGGAGGTGATGAGGGGAGATCAGGCTGGCTGGGGTGCTCAGGACTGGCTGCGTAGGAGGTGCAGGGTGCGGGGGCAGGTGATGAGGGGGGATCAGGCTGGCTGGGGTGCTCAGGGCTGGCTGTGTAGGAGGTGCAGGGTGCGGGGGGAGGTGATGGGGGGAGGGATCAGGCTGGCCCGGTGCTCAGGGCTCTCTGTCCCCACTGCAGGAGAGTACGTGGAGGGGGTGAGTGACCAGGACGTGCTCCTCATTCACTCCTGCCGCCAGTGGACCACGGTGACGGCTCACAGCCTGGAGGAGGGGCACTACGTCATCGGGCCCAAGATCGACATCCCGCTGCAGTACCCAGGTACCGGGGCCATCGGGGGGAGGGCTGGGGCCTCTCTCCCAGGCGGTGTCCGAACTCCGTGGGGCAGCCCAGAAGACAGTGCTCAGCCAGCCCAGCGCCCCTGCTTCTGTGGGGCAAAGGACCCTTCGGTTTCCCAGAGGCGTGCTGGGGCAGTGCCCAGCCACTGGGGGCGGGGGGAGGTGGCACATGGCATCTGGCTGTTGGGCGTGGTGGCGTCTCTGGGGGTCGGGATCGTGGCACCATCTCTAGGAGTTCAGCAGGGGCGCGGCGGCATTGCCGGGAGCTAGGGAGGGACATGGCGGTGACTCCAGGGGCTCAGGTGATGTGTCGGCATCAGGGGCTCAGGGACGTGATGGTGGCTCCGGGGGCTCAGGGACGTGATGGTGGCTCCGGGGGCTCTGGGACATGGTGGTGGCTCCGGGGGCTCAGGGACGTGGTGGTGGCTCCGGGGGCTCCAGGACATGGTGGTGGCTCTGGGGGCTCAGGGACGTGGCAGTGGCTCCGGGGGCTCAGGTACGTCGCAGTGTCTCTGGGGGCTCCGGGACATGGTGGTGGCTCTGGGGGCTCCGGGACATGGTGGTGGCTCTGGGGGCTCAGGGATGTCGCAGTGGCTCCGGGGCCTCAGGGACGTCGCGGTGGCTCCGGGGGCTCCGGGACGTCGCGGTGGCTCCGGGGGCTCCGGGACATGGTGGTGGCTCCGGGGGCTCCCGGACGTCACGGTGGCTCCGGGGGCTCCGGGACACGGTGGTGGCTCTGGGGGCTCAGGGACGTGGCGGTGGCTCCGGGGGTTCAGGGACGTCGCGGTGGCTCTGGGGGCTCCAGGACGTCGCGGTGGCTCCGGGGGCTCCAGGACGTGGTGGTGGCTCTGGGGCTCAGGGACGTGGCAGTGGCTCTGGGGGCTCAGGGACGTCACGGTGGCTCCGGGGGCTCCGGGACGTGGTGGTGGCTCTGGGGACTCAGGGACATCACGGTGGCTCCGGGGGCTCCGGGACATGGCGGTGGCTCTGGGGGCTCAGGGACGTCGCGGTGGCTCCGGGGGCTCCGGGACATGGTGGTGGCTCTGGGGGCTCCGGGATGTGGTGGTGGCTCCGGGGGCTCAGGGACGTCGCGGTGGCTCCGGGGGCTCCGGGACACGGTGGTGGCTCCGGGGGCTCTGGGACGTCGCGGTGGCTCCGGGGGCTCCGGGACACGGTGGTGGCTCCGGGGGCTCCGGGACATGGCGGTGGCTCTGGGGGCTCAGGGACATGGCAGTGGCTCTGGGGGCTCCGGGACAGGATCTGATGGCATCTCGTTCTCACCACTGCTGGAGGATGACCACAGCTATGTTTGCTCTGGGATCCCTTTAACATCCCACGGCCACATTTCTCTGCCCTCATCTCTCTCTCCTGGCTTCCTCCCTTATGGGGCGCAGCTGGGAACGCTCAGGTTTGACCCCAGCTTGGGGCTCCCGGGCGAGGGTCCCAGCTCAACTGGCCCCTCCATGTCCCTGGGAGTTGCGCTCGAGCAGGTGGGCTTTGGAGTAATGCCCAGGGCACAACCTGGCACATCCCTGGCTGCTGGGATGCTCCTGCACCCCCAGAACAACAGACATTCTGGTACTCTGGGAACAGCGAGACCCTGCCCCTGCCGGCGTGACCTTGCATGCACCGTACGGGCAGGGTGGGGCGCTCTTCAAAGTGGTGTCCCCTGCCCCATACTGGACAGAACCGTGTCCACTTTTGTCTTGGTACCGGCCAAGCGGAACGGTCGGGCGCACGTGGACTATTGGCCAGCCCAAGGTGCGGCATGACAGAGATGGGGCAGGACCAAGCTAGAGCGGAGCAAGGACTGCTGGGTTCCTGGAGTGATCTTACCCTGTCTTTGCCTCAGTTTGCCCAGGTGTGAGCTGCAGCTGTGAGCTCGCCCGTGAAACCAGGGCAGGGGATTGGCGTCTCGTGCTGCCCACTCACCCGAGCACAGCTGGAGGCGTTAGAGGAAAACACCCAAGGGTGCAACGTCACCCGCGTTATTCCTTCGAATTCAGCCTGCTCGGGAGAGACCCGGATCGTATGTTTCTCCGCCGAGGCCCTGGTCACCGAGCAGGCCCAGGAAAGCCCATGCATGTAAAGTGAGAGCTTGTGATGCTGACGGTTTCTGCGCCCCACTGCCGCTCCATGCCAGGGCTGGTCGCCCTGCACAGGGGCACGTCCGTGTGGAGCAGCCCAATTCCCTGGGGCAGTGGACTTGCCAGCTGGGGGATCAAGCTGGGAACAAGTCTCTCTGTCTGCATTTGGGGCTCGTGTGAACCATGCGACACCCGGAGCTGGACGCAGGAGCCCAGGTTGGGGGAGGCCGACTGGGGGACCCCCACCCCGCTTGGTTCTTCAGTCTCTTTCTCCCCTTCCATTGTTTCCCTCCTGTGCTGTCCTAGTATTAACCCTGAACGTCCCTTCATCTCCAGGGCAGGCTCCAGGACTAGCTGGACTTCGCTCTCCCGGCTGAATCCTTCGAGCCGGCTCCCAATTCCAAACGAGGGGCTGCAGCTCCCTTTCTCCTGCGTGCAGCCTTCCCTGCTTCCGCTGGGGCTGAGTGTGGCCCCTCGGGGAGTGGCAGCACCCCAGGGGCTGAGCCCATCACAAGCCGAGCGGTGGCTGCAGCCCTGGGGGCTTCGCATGGGTCGGTGGAGCCCCGGGACTTCCCGGAGGGGACCTGTGGAGCTCAGAGAGGAACCAGCGGCACCGTGATGGGTGAAGGGAAACCTGGGGGGGAGCCCAGGTGAGTCAGAGGTCAGGGGTCGTACAGGAAAGTCGGCGCCATGCCGGTGCACGGCTCCGCTCCTTGGCCAGATGGTGTGTGTGTGGGGGGGGCATGCTTCGGTGCTGAGATCACTGCAGCCGCCGTGGCGAGCGCCCTAATGCCCGCACTAAGTGCATCCCCCTTGGTAATGAGTCCTGCTGATAAATAAATAATGGGACATGGAGGCGGGGGGGCGGGGGTGGGGGAGGGGTAATCACCGGTTCCAGAAGGAGACGCGGGGAGGGGGAGCCTGAGAAACGTGTTAACCGGCTTTACTGGGTTTATCCCCTATCTCTTTTACACCTTCTCAACACACCTACACACTTCCACCTTCCTCACCAATCACCTCCTTCCCCTCCTCCTTCCCCCACTCCCTCACCTCTGGGAAGCAGAGGTCCTCACCCCAACTCCGCATCAGATGATCTCAGCCAGCCATAAAACAGAATTTATTACGACAAACATTTAAAACAACTTCAGTCAGAACACCCCTCATGTCCATTCTGGGGCAGTGAGAAAACACTTCATCACTCCATGTCCACCACCCAAATAAAACCCCCTCCAGCCCCTCCTCCTCTGCTTTTTCCTTTCCCCCATGTCACCTATTCCTTTTTCTCCAACCCTTCACTCCACCTTGCAGGGGGAAGGGCCCAGGCCATCAGTTGCAAAACAGGGTGTTATTCTCTTGTCCAACTCCTCACACCTCCCTCTACTCTAATATCATACACCCTTCCCACCCCTAGATACTTAAGAATCCTAGGAAATGAGCACCCCCCCAACTATTCAGAAAACATTAAAAACCCACTTCCACATCTCTCCCCCTTCGAGATCAACTCCATTAGCCAGGACTGGAAGTTCAACCAACTCCCAATGCCACACTCCCCATTCCTTTAGATACACCACCTATCACACCCTCCCTTATCATCACACTCAATGGAAGGTTTATCAGCCATGCCCTTTGCACCCCAAAATCCCCATACACACCTTCTCTCCCACTAGGTCCAGGTGTCCCAGAAACTCCACACAGAATATAGTTGGCAGATACACACCCCAACTATCTAATCCTGACTAAATAGAACCTTTCCCGCCCCTTTCAGATCTCCAGCCTCTCAAACATAGTGGGACACACCCCCCTCCTTAACCACACAATTTATTACCTCATCCGATACACTCCCCCACCCCCCACCCATTCATTTTCCTCTTCCCCCCTCTTCCTCCAACTCCAATCCCCAACCCCTCCAATTCCCCATCCCCAACTTTCTGTCAACTGTTTTCGACCCTCCTCCTCATGATTAACTCTGCTTTGGTGAGCTTTCCAACCTCAACCCTCTCTTTCTCCGGGTACAATCCTTCTAAGAGAGGGGCCACCCCCCCCAATTGTTTGCCTTCCCCCCCCTTCGGGAGCCCCGCCCCCCCCTTTGCGCCGCCCCGCGGCTCCAACCTCCCCCACCCCAGGTACCCCCCCCCCTCTCACCCCCTCTCCCCTCACGCCTGGGGCCCCGGGGTCTTCCCCCCCCCCCGGCCCCCCTAAACAATAATAAAAGGGGGGCCCCCACGAACCCCCCCCCCCCCCCCCGGTTTTTTTGGCTTCCCCCCCCCCCCGCGGGGGGAGGTCCCCGGACCCCCCCCCGTCTGGAGGGAAACACTGGGCTCATTCGTGGGACAGCATCAGCGGCTCCAAACCGGGCCCAGCCGCAGCCCAGGGGGCCGCGGCGCCTCCTGGGGGAGCCCCCCGGGGCTGGGCTCCTGCACCCTGCAAAGGCTGATGGGATTGTTTGTCTGGTCAGGTTACGTGTTTGTGACGGTCACTAGCTTGGGCCAGGCCGAGTGGGAGTGGGTGACCCTCCACCCCGACAGAACTAACGCCCCTCAGTCCCGACCTGCAGCCCCCCAGCTAGCCCAACCCTGGGGTCCCCGCAGCTCTGCCGGTGCCCCTCAGTCCCGACCTGCAGCCCCCCAGCTAGCCCAACCCTGGGGTCCCCGCAGCTCTGCCGGTGCCCCTCAGTCCCGACCTGCAGCCCCCCAGCTAGCTCAACCTTGGGGTTCCCCCAGCTCTGCTGGTGCCCCTCAGTCCCGACCTGCAGCCCCCCAGCTAGCTCAACCCTGGGGTCCCCCCAGCTCTGCCGGTGCCCCTCAGTCCCGACCTGCAGCCCCCCAGCTAGCCCAACCCTGGGGTCCACAACAGCTCTGCCGGTGCCCCTCAGTCCTGACCTGCAGCCCCCCTGGCT